AAATTTTCATTGTTTAACAATTTGATGCGCACGAAGATAGTCGATATGTTTTCTGGTTCCTATAGGGTGAAATTTTAGACTAAAAGTGTCTCGTACCGGCGCATGGGACGTAAGCGCCATAAAAAGTGAACCTTAGAGAATCGCATTTAAGTGAGAAAAATCTTCCTAAAATTTTAGCTTATCAATTAATTTCCTGGCTTCCGAGTCAGTGACTCTCGCGTAAAAACTTTCATGTGGCTGCACATGAGGCACAGTCATATGTGGATTCTACATTTGAATTTGCTAGGTCCCCGCATAGGCAAAAACATCTTCCTGAAATTCCGCTTAGTTTTGCGTTCCTTTTTGAATGTTTTGACTCAATTTGCGACTGCCCTCTTCGCTTCCTTTCTTCCTCTGGCTAAATTAAGCATGCACTAATTGCATATCAAGACAAAATATTTTTGCCATCCTGTGTGTAAAATTTTGTTATTTCAAATTTTTCAAAAGAGTAAGCTAAATTTAGCATAAAGGCGAACAGGGTGGACGCTGGGCTCAGAAATGAGCTACTTCGCTCACCTCCATTCCCTTTTTCACTCAGTTTCTCTTTCTCCTCCTCTTCCCCGCGTCTTTTCCGAGTACATCATTTCTCGAATGAAACATGAAGGCGTTAAACATATTTAATTATGATGAATACTATTCAGGACTGTGCCTTTTAGCATCACTGCATGCCGCTTTTCCAATATTGCTTTCTTTTTTTTTTCGTTCGAAATTCATTCTACATTTTAGAAGGTTTCGCTGGTGTGTGTGGAAGACTGGAGATCATTTGGGCACGGAATACCAGTTATTTGTGAAATATTAGAAATTAAGTTTTTCCATTTGTCAAAAAATCGTTACTGCAAGCAAAATTTTTGAAATCACTTATGCCGAAGCGAATACAGTAGTGGTAGCCCCATTGAATAAGGCTCAAAATACTTTTTGCCAAAGTTTTCCAAATGTCCAATATGTACACCAGAAACAGTGCGATGCGGCTACTTGCTAAGCAAAAGCACTAATAAACATTTGGCACTTTATCAAAAAAAACTTAAAAATATCTGAAAATTGAGCATTTTCTAGAAGCAACTTACAATAAGTGCTAATTCATACAGAAGCGTAACCATTTGCTCAGTTAAGCTGAATAAAATAGTGGGAGTGCAGAATGCTACTGAACTCAAATTTGATATTAGCTTCGTTGTCAAGATTGATAAGATAAGCCTAAAAAACTTTATTATCACGTTGCTGCACAGATCAGCAATTAAAACCGTGATGGAACTCTTGCGGATGGAGTCACTCCCTGTGCGACAGAGTGAAACAGTTTGAAAACAAACCACCAGTCCTCATATCTGAACGTGATACACGGTCCTGTGCTTCACTCACTTGTTGGAGCATTACATTTTGTAAGCATGCCGTTTGCACATACACTTTATAGCGTCTAGAGCCGCTCTTATGAGCAGCGCACACTTTCTCAGTTCATACCGGTTTTTCTGGGAAATTCAAAAACAGGAAAATTGCGTACTGATTCGACGGCTTATAAGATATTCCGGAAGATATGTTGTTCCTGAATCGACATTTTCTTTTCAAACGCTTGTTACAGCCGGGGTCTAACGTGAAGCACAGTCAAAGAAGCCATCAAGCAGATTACCATGATCACTCAGATTGTCAGTGTGAAAACCTGGTGTCATCGCTGCGAAAAAAATACAGCGCTAGCAGCTGTTATGTTAGGCATTGCATGTCCTGAATTGTTTGCCTAGAGGTACTAGTCAAAAGAAAATCCTCTCCGCAATTTACTCTCTGTGAGAGGTGAAAATGTTTGAGATTTGCTGGATGATAGCAAGAGCCAAGAGCAACTACCTGCTGGCAAGGTCATCGATGGCTTTGTCTTCTGAGGGCTGCTTTAAAACAAGCAGTTGCGGATTTGAGTTTATGACACATGCAAGTTTCAATTTGCAATCGACAAATGTAGAAATTTTAGAGGGGTTGATTCTCCAGCGACGAAGTTGAACCCTCGATTCTACTATGACTCATCGGTACTTGCCACTACGTCATGCCCACTGTAAGTACCATTTAGTAACTCAGTGCAGTTATTATGCGTTTTCTGCAGCTATGCAACGCAGAAAACACATACTGACGAGAGCTTGTCTGTGCGTGTGTGTCTGTGTGTCCGTGTATGCGTCTGTCACACTTTTTCATCCCCAATCCCCAAAATGGGCGCCATTACCCGCGTGTTACCCACGTAAGAGCCCGCCAAAGTTTTTTACGAGTAAGTTGCTAACTCGAGAACCAGAAATGCTTGGGAGATGAAATTTTGAGGGGATGTTTCCCATCCAAATAGGTATTAATGAACTCAAACCCGGCCCCCGGGTAAGCATGTTACCTAAGTAAGGGCCCGTGAAAGTTTTTTTTTTGGGTAAGTTGATAAATCAAGGATTTGAGGAGCTAGAAAGCTGAAATTTTAAGGGAGTGTTTTCTGCCAGTTTTGGTGGCCAGCCTTAATTTCTTTAGCTAGATGCATTTGCCGAAAAAACTGATGCCGGTAGCGACAAAAACTTCGGGGGACTATGCAAAAAACGCATCTTCGCACGGGCAGCTCGTGCGTTGGCCAATTATTTGTGAAGGTGGAAGAAGCTGGAAACTAAAAATGGAGACTCAGTTATTTATAGCAAAAACAGTCGCCTTACCACTGAGGAAAATCAGCTCCAGAAAAATCGTACAGCACGTAGCAATTCTTGGAAAACAAAATGGTTATTCGTATGCGGCTTAAAGTTTACTTGGCGGAGTGCATGTTTTCACTAAGCTGGAAGCGCACAGTCAATGATTGGCTAGTCGTGTGGAATGAGTTAAAATGTCGCCGATTATACCGTAACAGGGCAATCATCAGAATCATCGTTATTATTGTTTGAATTGCCATCGGCATGAGTACTAGAATCAGCCCTTTCACTGCAAATAAAACAAATGCAGCATGCAAAGATTAATGCTGTTTAGAAGTTTCAAGTAAAATTATAAAATTTGGAGATTAAAATCGAAGTGTTCCGTCTCTGTAGTTCAATTTTGAACGTAAATCGAGCGGGAAAGTTCCTTGTCAGAAGCTCAGCATATCCGTACATGCGATATAGGTGTAAGTATGAACTGAATTTGAAGACTCTTAATCGCACATGCACAGAAGACATCTTCCTAAAATTTCAGCTCTTTATGTTGACTGGTTCCCGAGTTAGTAATTTTCCCGCTAAAATTTTTGAGACTAGCGCGAGCTTGAAAATTGACATCACGTTCCTGGAGTCACATCTGACCAAGAAAACACTAGTGAAGTTTCAATACCTAAACTTAGCTGTCAACTTTAAATACCACAGACACGCATACACACATACAAACATAGATATATGAACATATACAAAAACAGATATGTGGGTCGTCACAATGCGCGATTTTTCATTTGCATAAATATGCAAAAATGCATAAAAAGTGCCGAAAAATTCCAAAAATTATAAAAAATTAACGAGAAATAGATTTAAAAAATTTTAAATACTTCAGAGCATCAAGGAAAAATTTTTGAAGTGCTTATTTTAAAAAAATTTTAATCATAGACAAAGCCTCAGGAACGTACCATAATAAAGCCAGCACTGCAATAGACATCCCAACAATGTATACATTCCCTGAAAATTACTCTGTCGTTACAGCCACTGATGCAGATC